CCCTGTGCTTTTTCAATGCTGCTACTGAAATGAGAAAAAATAGGCGAAAAACAACACGATACCCTTCCCTTCGCCTTCGAATCGCGAAACGTGTCTAGATAAAACGAGCATAATCGCCTCCCATACTGCAGTTCGGCGACAGTTCAGCTGTTTTATCGACGACCGCCGTATAAAATGCTCTCTTCGGCAAATTCGCATCTGGTCACTCAGAATATCAGCGAATTATCTTTAGACGCAAGTCGTGGTAGTCTGAAGGTGTGAGCCCCCGTCCTCCATCTAAAATTCGATCGATTTGTATTTAAACAAAATATGTCGTAGTCAATGTTATTTTAAACCCATATAAATTCGATCGATAAACAAACTTGGAGTATAAATTCTTGAGTAGCCGTTCCTGTTTCTACATTACAAAGATTACGTCGAAGTCAATGTTATTAAGCAAAGAAAAGGGGGGAAAAGAAAGAACGGCCCGGATTCGATCCGAAAAAAAGGACCCTTTAAGATTCGAACTCTCGCCCTAAATCCCGAAGATCAGATTTAAAAGTTAGCGCCTTAAGCCATTAGGCCACGAGCGCGCCGTTTGACGCCATTTCCGCCATCCACGATTTCACAAACAAATAAATAAATAAATAAATATGACCGTAAAGTCCAGATGAGATTTGAACCCGCCTGACTCATGGAGGACAAATTTATAAACCTCGCTACGTATTTGTGAGTTGGGGGATGGCATGACGTCACACGGCGCGCTGGTGGCCTAATGATGTAAGGCGCTAACTTTTAAATCTGATTTTCGGGACTGAGGGCGCCAAGGATTCGAATCCGCCTGAGGTCCTTTTTTTTTTTTTTTTTTTTTTAAAGTTCGAATCCCGGGCCGTTCTTTTTTTCTTTCCTTTTCTTTGCTTAATAACACTGACTTCGACGTAATCTGTGTAGACGTAATGTAGAAACAGGAACGGCTACTCAAGAATTTCTCCAAACATAGCGTGTGTTTATCGATCGAATTTATATAGGAGGTGACTTTGTTTTACGTTAATAGTGCGGGGAATTTGGAGCAAAATAAAACCGGCTTTATTAAATCCGGTATCAACAACAGAAACAGTCCCGAAGACTCAATAATTTATCAAAGTACGATTAATAACGGCATATCGCTTAGATTTCATTGTAGACGTGAACACTTGCGTCTAAAGTAAAAATAATTCGCCGATCGATATTGCAAATTTGCCAGGCGGCTGAATGCAAAAATAAGTACGAGAAGGTTTTAGCTACAAAAGCGATGTAATTTCAGATCATTCAACGGAAAAGCGGGGAAAACAGTACATAAATTTCCGAAACTAACAGCGCTACAATTGTGTTGACATTCCAGTATTTCGTCGAAAACAAGAACGTCAACAGGAAAGGGCAGATGTCGGGAGACCGCAGCGAACTCCAGTCGATCTCTAAAGCCTGGTTATCACCCTTACACCCCAACAATAATTAATCCCCATCACAGCTTCGCGAGGACCCATGCGAGTCACGTATTACTAGTTTACATGGTATAAAACATTATAGTTCACCACTAAATTTTCTTTGATTCTGATTGGCTTAAATCGAACACATGACGTGATAGTGTTCATCCGCGGAGAGACACTGTCAGGTGATAGTGCCCGTCGGGCAAAAAACCCGGATCGATAGTGCCCGCCTGAGCGAAAAACAACCGTTTTGTGCAGTTTTGAGCTAAACAGTTGAAAGAATAAATTAAAAATAGCGAGAATTTACTCTCTATTAATTATTTTATAACATATGGGCATGCACGAAGTTTGGAACGAAATAAATGCGAATGAAAGAGCACTAAACAATTTACGGAAAGATCGGTTAACCGACACAAATTCGTCCAAAAACTGACAGCCTGTTTACACCACAAGTTTAAGCTTAGCCTATTCAGGATTGTTACCTTGTATTTCGAAGAGGCTTGTCAATTCCAGCTTGAATCAGCACAGTAAATATCGGTTACGGAGCTTAAATACGGCAGTTCGTCAAGCGTTTGCCCGCAGTGAAACCTTCGACTCCGTTCAGTTGTCCGTTTGACTTGTAAAATGAATATAATGTTCAGCTCCACAATTATTTCAGATCTACCCTCCCATTTTGAGCTAAATCATTTGCACAATTTTCCAGAATATATGAAACTTTAGAAGAGATTGAGCGAAGAAATAATCCGAAGAAAACATTTTGTCCTGCTTTCTTTTCATTCAACTTGGCGACCCGCGCGCCGTTTTTCATACAAACCATGCTTTATTTAGATGGAACTGAAAAATCACTCAGTCAATTTATAACTTTTGAAAAAGTAATACCGAAGTTTAACCTAAAGTTTGGTACGTATTTACGAGACAAAAGTTGAAATGCAAAACTATTTTTGAAGCTCCAAGCATCGCAGTGTTTTAGAAATGGAAATCAATAAATTCATGTCGTTTTCAGTTTTAGGCCGCCCGCCGCACGGAAAATTTAGTGGTGAACAATAACGACAATATAGTGTTTTTTGTCTCGGAACTATCGGTCTGATAGTTGCCCTTGGAAATTTTATGTTCTAAAAAACTAGCATATAAGCCCTCGAACTTCGTTCTCGGGCTAATATTTGTTTTTTAGAACATAAAATTTCCGCGGCAACTATCAGCCGATAGTTCCTCAACAGAAACACTCTATTGTTATAGTAGTGATTAAAGGTCTAGGACAACTGGCCTGCCAATGGATCACCAAGGTTGATTCCCATATTATTCATTATTTCATATGTTGCAATGATAAAGATTTAGCCAAACACTAGGTTATACAAAAATAGGCAGCCTACTTTATCTAGACACAGGGAAAGGAAAAACCTGCTTTCTTATAAATTAATATAGCATGCATACAACGTCTATTACAGATTTGTGTGGCTACGTGAGACGCCTTTTAGGGGTAGAGAAGGTTATTTCCAACCTTACACCCGTGGCCCAAAAGCTTGGGCTGCCTGAAGAAACGTTGAATCAAGTTGTGGCATGTTGGCAAAGCGAGGCGCAACAACTGAAAATGATTTTGCAATGCTGGCGGGCGAGGCACAAAAACACAGAAGATCATGCCGTGCTCAGAAAAGCCCTTGAAGGGTTAGAACCTGAAGGTATGGAAAATACTTTTTGTAAGGATTTCCTATCTTGAAAGTGTCATATTTGGCTGAAAACTCTCACTAAAAGTAATTTATGACATAAAACTGTGGTGATGTGTTTTACGAGAAGCCATGTAACATCCAGTCAGATGTTCAGTGTTGCTGTGTATTGCGTGTTGCTTTATGTTATCGCTATTTCAGCCACTGTTATGTTGTCATCGTCGTTGCCGTTGCCGTTGTTCTTTGATGTACAATAGCTTCTCTTAAAGTAAACACTTTATAGGCAATTTATATGCTGAATAATGATATTACATGTCTGCATTCCCTAAAGACATCCATTCCATTTCTCGTACTCTCAGAATACACAGTGAAAGAAAGAGGACAAATGCACGTCGAACATTTGAGAGAACTGGCAGTTACGATCGTGGGTTTGCAGCACGAGGATCCTAACATGATGAAGTACTTGGACCATGAAATAAAAATTCTCTGCAACTCAGTTTTGAGAGACTGTTGCATTGAGATCTTCAAAATGGATTTCAACTTGGCCACTACGGAAAACTACGCAACTCTCCTTATGATCCACAGACGATTATCCGGAGACGTTGCCAAGAAATACAAGCAGATACACTCATCTCCTGAAGATTCCATATCAGAAAATTTCGTCATGATTGTTCCTCAACTTATTCAAGCCATCAAAGAAATTTTTCGAGATGAGAGAAGTCCACAAGCGCAAAGTGGATTGAGAGGAGTGGCCGATGAAACAACATTGGACAAAATCGCGTCAGATATTCAAGAGGCTGCACAAAACAAAAGCATATTGAGGCTTTTGAGTGAAGTGTGTAAGATTCTTGAAAATTTATGTCTCAACAACAATGACAACCGATCCACAGAAGACGAGATACGTGACTGGGGCGGCTCCGCTATGATTATCATAATGCTGCAATTTCTAGAGAATTTCTTCCAAAGCTCTGAAGCACAAAGATTGTACAAACGACTACACGTGTTCTCGGTGTCTATAAGAAAGATCCTTTCAAACCCCACCTCTTTTGAAGGAAACTTCCTGCGTGATTTCCACAACGTTGCACTGAGTCTGTTAAAATTTGCAAAGTTTGATCCATCGCAACTTGTGAGATTTGAATTGAATGACCCAACTAATTTATCCAACACTCAAGGGGACTCATCTTCTCGATCATGCCTAGTGGCACATAACACTCAAGGTAACGATGTATTAAAGTACGACAAGTCAAAAGAAACCTTTTCCCAGCAGTTCTGGATCAACAAAGAGTCTGAAGACGAGTTACAACTCGAGGCAGTTGCACATATTCATATTAACGGACATATTCGCAGCATTGGAGCATTTGAAACACTGATCATACTCCCTGCATCTTGCAACGAAGCCCTCGACAGAGTTTCAGTTGCTTCTCTTTCCGTAGCGGTCAAAAGGGAGCACGACAAGTCGGGAAACCTTCGCGTTACTCTTTATGCAATGCAGAAGGAGAACGTCAGGAAGGCTTTGACATATCTGGAGAAAGAACTAGGAGAAGATGTGATTGCCTTGAAACAAACGGAGATCACACAATCCCGTCTAAAAGTGCGCAGCTGCGCAGAAGCAGGAACAGTTGTTAGGCTACGTCTGATTCACAAATGGGGATCAGAGACAATTCTTCTTGACAGCAACGATTTTGTGACTCTTGCTGATTCGACCGCTGGAGGCGCTTGTGTCCCGGATCTGGAAATAGCAGGTTCGTTAGAAACAGTGGTTTTATGAAGATGACATCACTGACACTTGTCAGGACAGGAGTAGATCCTATGATCTCTCGCATACCACTCGGATGCTCTACCACTTAGCTACGCGTCACATTTGAACCTAGTTATATGGGGATCCCACTAAAAGTCTCCTGTAGCTCAGTGGTAGAGCATCTGGCGATCGGTGTGTGGAAGGTGATAGGTTCGACTCCTGTTGGGAGAACTCGGGATTCTTTCTCTGGGTAGCTTGTGTCACTGACTATATTTTTCAAAGTACGCCAAAGGATTACGCTAAAAGGGTCAAACACTCACTTCTATATTGTCGTCCTTTCAGCTGAGATGGGTCAACTGGCCATTAGGAATAAATATCCAGCAATAACAAGCGACTCGACTGTTGGTAATTACAACAGCAGTAGCAGTTTTGTGATGGATCCTTCAGATGCGGAGTTGATACAGAGACATGTGCATCAACAGCGCGGGCATGTTGGTGAGAATTATAGTTCTTCCTATAAAGACAAACTTTAAGTTGAAAAGGTATTAGGGTTGAATGCACACACATGACGGTTTTTTTATATAAATTTTGATCATATATAATGGACATGTGCTCTGATTGGAGTGCACAATCGTTTTTCACGAGAGTGTAAAAACGGTTATGAAGTGTCATCGTATTTTGTTGGTTTTATTTTATAAAATTCGAAAGTTTATGTAAACACTGGCCGCAGGCCTATGGGCTTATATTTATATTTAGTTCATAAAGAAATATATATCTTCTTCCGATGTAACCCCCTTTTGCAGAACTTATCTTGTATTTTTGTTGTTGTTGCAGAATGCTCAAAGACTTCTGGAGTGTAAAACTTGTTTTGTGTCCCATTTCGTTATGTTAGAGAAATTTGGCATGCAATATTCTTGTATGCAAACAATAAGCCCCCCTACCTCTACCCCCCTCCCCCCGATAATATTTTAAAGCCACAAAAAAGTCATTTGAAAAAAATATAAGCCCAGGGCTTATATTCGGAATTTTACGGTATTTCATAAATATTGGTAAAGAAATGGTCACTGAAAATAATTTTTTTTAGAAAATGCATTCAGGTAACGATTAACGTGTACAGTAATTTACTTCAGAGAGGTGATATTCTCTTTAACCTAACCATCACTTTTTCAACTTTTGTTTCAGAGATCCATTATCATCAGAGTTTCTTGAAAGGTCACGTGTGTGTGGCAGGAAAGAACACTAGCCTCAACATGCAAATGCCCGCTACTGAACAGCGGTATGTAATGTCACCTGTGTTTTACGTTTCTATGATAACAATCGATCAAGTAGCCAAAGTTAAAATAGTACAGATGACAACCCAGTCTCCTTCGTATGTTTGTTTGTTTGTTTGTTGTTTTTTAGTCATCAAGCAACGGTTATCCCCATGTGGAGAAGCGTTAATTTTTGCCTTCCCTGTGAACGGCTGGAAAAAAGCTAGCTCTTGCAAACATTGTGCGTAGTGGCCTAATGGTTAGCGCATTGAACTCTGGATCGAGCGGTCCGGGTTCGAGCGCTGGCCGGGGTCATTGTGTTGTGTTCTTTGGAAAGACTATACCTCTACATTGCCTCTCTCCACCAGGAGTATAAATGAGTACCAGAGAACCTGACAAAATGCTGGGGGGTAGCCTTCGATGGACTTGCATCCCATCCAGGGGAAGTAGTAATACTCAACTACAGCGTCTGCAGGGTGGGCTACAGTTTGGCCCGAGTGCGGCTTTCTTGCAAAGTAACATTGAATGACCCCAAACAAAAATTTGAAAAGAAGCCTTTTATTATTCTTTGCTACATTTGTAGTATTGACCACAGCATAATAATGATCAAAAGGATGAAACTGTTTGACTGTTTTTAGTTTTCTGGAGGCTGGACCAAGTGCTGCCCATCACAGGAGCATAACCGAAGGAACTGGTGCACACGACGTGTGAATCTTTGCCAATCTGTAGAATGTAGAAGACGAGTAGTTTGACGAGAAGAAGGCCGGTTTACATCTTGCCATGCATCCGTAAAATGTAAAATGAACTGACTTGTTTGAAGAGAACTCATTCAATTGTAAATCACAGTAAAGCAATCAAAGTTTAGACATTTTCGAGTCGTAGTCAAAGTTTAAAAATAGTTAGTTTCTAGTTATTATATTAGTTAAGTACAAGGTATTAAGGATATGTAGCTTGAAATTGGTTTTACGTACCTATCAATGACGAATTTTGGGTGATTTTTGTCAGTTTACTTTTTAATAGGCAAATTTATCTTTATATTTATACCAGCACACTGATAGGGAAACCCAGCAAGTAACATATGCTGGGGGTAATAACTTGCGATGGATTAGCATGCCATCCAGAGAAAGTAGCAATACTACTAGTCACTTCATGATAATTTCATACGGAGATGAACGTTTTTTAATAAAGACCAAAAGGTACCAAAATGTTACACGGCTATCCAGGATAGAGCTGCTGGCCAAAATTAAGAGGGCCTTATTCTGAAGCCCTAAAACGGGTCCAAAAGGGGGCTCTAAAATAGAAGGGGCTTTATTCTAAGTCCCACCACACAAGGGGCTCTACAGTTCTATTTTATCACGTCAGCCTATGGCAAATATTTTGTATATATATATTTGCCAGTTACTAAAGGGCTATATAGGAACTTCAGAAACCCTGGTAACTTCAAGGTTTTTAATTATTATAAGACGATTGTCTATACTTGTCTAAGTAATTTTTTACATGGATCGGAGTTTATAATTTTTTTAAAGAGTGATATATACTTTCCTCAATTTTTAACGTTGATTGTAATTTAGCGTCATCGTTTTAGTTAAATACACTAGAACTGCGGACAGAAGGTCGCGGGATAACTAATTCTATATCGCAGCTAGATGAAATTTATTGTATAAAAACTAATAGCGAAGAATAAAGCTAGGTTAATAATGAGCCTGCGATAGCCGAGAGCGATGAGAAGCGGCTGTATTCGCAGGCAACATTGATAATAGAGCCACTTATTGGCTGTGTAGTTTTAAGAGTTTTATTATGGGCAAAAACTAGAATCACATTTGAATTAATTTAGTTACCTAGTTATAAGGAATATATATTCGAAAGATATGATGCTGTATGTTAAGCTTGGTAGAAACACGAGAAAATATTAATTTATCAGTTACAGAAGCTGCTCAGAAAGAGAAAAAAGGAATTTTCGAATTCTTCAAGATTACAAACATTACCTCATTTTTGTATTAGTACAATTTATTCGCAGTTTCCAGGTGAGTAGGCTCATTCTCCATCCGAGAGGATCGCGGGCGCACTGAAACACCCACGGCTGGAGACTGAGCCTACCAGGTGAGTTGCTTACAGACATTTCTTACCATTTAATTTTAGTTCAATTGCAGGGTTTTCGCATGCGCTATGTGTCTAAACTTGTCCTTAATGGTTTGCATGCCCCTAGTTGGGTAGGCAACGAGAGCACACCCAACCTTTAAAAGCGAATGACCCTCCAACAAGGGTCACCCTGCCAGTTTAAAAGACAATAGATACAGTGGAGAACTAGCGGAGTTGGAATCGCTTTCTGACATCCTTTAAAAAGGTCAAAAGCCCGCTTGTTCTTTGTACGATCGTCTGGTAAACAACCTCGTGCAAACCCTGTGACGTCATAACGCAGATTTGGGATGTTTGAGACCATATAATTTCTTTTTTACGCTTTTCTAACGAATTCCACCTCTATTTTTTAAATTTCGGTACCCAAATGTCTTTATTTCTCAAAAAAAAATTTCGTTTCATAGGCACTTTAAGAGGCTGTCCGCGTAAGAACGGATAAGGCAAATTTCGGCCCTTCACCGATTTGCCTAATATTTTCAGTGACAGTTAACCATTATATCCCATCAACAAATATCACATTTATTTGGATCAATTCCTTCTTTTTCATTTTTTGCGAGGCCATTTTCAACATAACCTCAAAATTATGCAAATTAGCTTTGAGGACTCTACAATTTAGCTATAAATGTCGGGCGCTACCAAAGCCCAATTTATCGTCCAAACCCGCTGAATATTTTATATATTCAAGTTTCATCTTTCATCAACAGTTTAAAGGTTTAATAATTGTATTTTATCAAATTGTAACTGAGTTATGAATTTTCTAAGATACCTTCTCTCGAACTCCGGAATTTGCGAAACGTGACATACCTATAGTTGAAAATTATTTTCTCTTATGTGGGACCTGACCTAGAGTCAAATCTGTTATAACTCAAAAGTACTAACACCAATCTAATAAATTATAGAATAAAATTTGTGGGCACTTAAAGCTGCGCACCGTACAGAGCTCTGTGAATTTCCCAATTATTCGCCATTTTGATCGAAACCAAAGATAAGGCGGTCCGAACGATAGACCAATTTCTCAGCTGAAAACGCTTGGAGATACAATAATAACCGCTAAAGGGCAGACATATGCCTTGCAAATAAATATTATTCGTTGTTTTAGCTGTTGTTTCGGGAAAAAATCGGGGTATTTTCAAAAGTAAACAGCGATAAATATTTCCTTTCAATTGATATATGCAAATTAGCTGCATATTAAATTTCGTGTTGCGATGGGATTTCTTTATGTATTCCACAAAACATTTTCCTTGAGAGACACTTGAGAATATTTTCCAAGAGAAAGAATTGATTTTTATGTGGAGTAAAATTTTTTTCAGCCTCTATGTGAAAGCGTTTTGTTCAGATTGTGAACTATATTTTGATTTCCCGCAGTGTTTGTTTTGCTAGCCGGACACAGTTGTTCATTTCATATTCCTGAATTCAAATTCTTGTACGAATGACTTCAGTTGATCAGTTAGGTCTTTTTCCGGTATCTTTCAAGACAAAAAATAGTTTCTTACCTGGGGAATAATTTATTTTAGCCATTATGTGAAAGCTTTCCTTTAGTTTATGAGCCATTTCTATTTATAACGCAGTGTTTGTTTTGCATGATTCACTTGTTCATTTCATACCATTCTACAGCTGATTCTAGTTCAATTAAAGCATTCATATTCTTGTATGAATGAATCTCTTGATTTAAATTGCACTTCAAAATGTCGCAAGATTTGTTTCAGCAGGTCCTCTCCCCGCCACCCCTCCTACGCCTGCGGGTTCGCGAGGCTCGTGCGTGCATTATCGGCGCTCGCCTCTCGATTCTCGCGTCACGAATCTATATCTCGAGAGAAGAAAGTGAGACTGTTTTGCAATCTATAC